CTCTTGATTTAATTATATATGTAATTGGCATGCTATATTTGCTCTTAAGCCTTATTGAGGTTATTACATCATAGGTTTTCATTGGACATTTCCAGTCTTCTGATTCTGAAGTATACCTTTTTTTTTTTTTAATTTCTCCCCCTTTTGTTCAATGGGTAAGACCAGCAACATTATATGTTTCTAAGTGCCAGGTCACTAAGAATTTTCCAGTTTTCTTTGCACTTCCTCCTCCACAACTCGAAACATTATTTCACTGAGTGCCTCCCCAGTGAGGCCAGTTTGGCATCTTCTTCACTCCCTTCGTGGCATTGGCAAATAGATGTTTATTGTGATGGAACATGAGGGTGGCCTTGGAAGACGGTTGTGGGGGGAAGAGATGCCACTTAGGGGACAATCAGGTAAAAGAAGGAGTCCGCCACAGAGTAACGCCAGAGAAAGCAACTTAGGAAGGACCCGCCCTAACTACTCAGGTGGTAAATAGGGAGGGCAGGAGAGCTGTACTTTCAGACTTGCAAGATGCTATTAATGTAGCCTTACATAAAGTAGGAGTAGCTGTAGTCGTGTTTCCTGTCTGGTTTACCTGGGAGGGCTGACATTTATTCTCTCAAGCCTTTGGCCGTATTATTGTGCTAATAATACGGTGTAGAGAGTAAGGAATATGACCTTGACAGAGGCATGCAGGAACTGTTACCTAGGAAAAAGTGGCTTAAATCTTTTTTAAGTCCAGAGCAATGAGATAACATTCAGAAACACCTCCCTAATTCACTGAACTAAATCAGACTTGAAGATTCTATTATTATAACCAATCTCAATAAAAGTAGTTTTAGCCTTCCTTGTGGAGTTGATTTTCTGGTCTGCCCCACCCAGAAGGACTGACACTATGAGATACTTATATATTTGTATTCTGCTGCCTTTATTTTTACTGCCTTTTTAATGGTAAAAAATTAAGTTTGTGAGCCACCCTGGGAGAACTGTTTTGAAGTATGACATACAAATACTTAAAATTAGTAGTTGGTACTTTTTGAGTTTGAAGTAGACCTTTGAATTTCAAGGTGTATGGCCCTTTAAATAAGCAGCACGTTGAACTGTGAGGTAGATGATGATAACCAGACTCTTTTTGAACAGCTTAGAATTTAAAAAAAAAAAAAAAAAGCAAGCAGTAATACCCAAAGGTCACAGCAGGTCCTGAAGGTAGCCAGAAGTAGAGCTTTGAAGCTTTTTTGCCAAGTCCATAGGGAATCCCAGCACACACGGCAGACCATCTGCTGTTTTTTAAAAATAGAGGTCACTGGCTGATCAGCTCGCAGTACAAGTGACCCCACTGTTTGTTATGGGGATAAAATCAGGAGAAATCCTCACGTTCACTGCCTTGAGCTTTTAAGAAAGCAGGAAGGAAAGAGAGAGAAAGGGCGGGAGGGAAAGACTGGCTCATTTTAATTTTTGTTGGGCTCATTTAATTTTGTATTTAAAGAATACAAACAAAACATAAGAGATATTTGGGGGGAGACCTTCCATAACAACAACAACATCTAAGAGGCATTAATTCAGAAAAACCCTAATTTCTGGTTCGCAGAATGGTGCAAAACAACTAGCTCACCAGAACTTTGTAATATGTAATATTAGTTGAAAATACAAGAGTGGGAAGATAGTCAACATTTGGAATATGTAAATTGCACAGCCACTAGTTAGCAGGGATAATCTGCTTTTATAGATTCTAAATTAAGATGAAGCTGAGTGATTATGCCCATAGTAATTATACTAGGGTTAGGTCTTAAAGAACTTTTTTCAGTAGTACGTGCTCAGTCCCGTTGTAAGCCTCTGGCTCTGGCCCAATCTTTCTATCCCATCCTCCCAAAGTTAATGCAAATATTAATGCTAGCCCAGCTTAGTACTTGGATGAGAAACCACCAGGAAAAATCAAGGCTGTGACCTTCTTAGGCTAGAGTGGGAAGATATAAGGAAAAAAAAATCTTGGCCAATTGCAAAGTCTTGTGAAGAAACAACATAGGCATATCCACAAATGAAGATTCAAGTATCCAGGCAGCCTGAACATCCATAAGCCAGCATTAACCCAAACAGGAGTCCACAATCAGAAAGATGGTGAAGAGCCCATGGAGTGAAGAGTTATCCTTTCACACAATCTGGCAGCTGATCAGGAAAATGTCCCTCAAGCTATATTTACATGCATATCCTGAAGCTAGAAAATGGAATTATCACTACCTCTGCTCACAAGCATGGGTGGCTGGGGAGAGGAAGGGAGGGCAAATAACACATGCATGGTGACATCACACAACCGTTGCAATGTATATATTTACATCAGATGTCAGGACACAAGTGTGTAATAGTGGCATTTGTGTGATATCATGCCAGGTTGTCACTTTGGTTTCATTGTGGCTTGCTGCAGACTCTGCTGGCCACAATGATAAATGAGTTGCTGTTAGATGCCATGCTGGCAACTCCTGGAGCTGGTTCCAGTTTCAGAAAAGCCTTCTTTGTCCTAATGATCCACCTCTCTTTTCTCAACCTGGTAGACTGCACTGTCTTGATGTTGCACAATTCTTTTTAGAGACAGTAGACAAGGGCGGTACTTGGAAAAGGTTGGGTTAGATAGCAAGTGTTGGTGAATTCCCCCACAATGCCTTTGCTATTGTTCTGTCTCGGTATTTCACCAAAGCAGTACCATAAATCATGTGAAATAATTTATCATGACTCCAGCTAAAAAATGTGACCTGTTTATTGTAAATGAAAAGCATTCATAACAGTGCAAACAATTCTTTGGTAGATTTATTAAGTACAATAAAGTAAGTAAAATTTTATTTTCGGTAGGAGTTTTAACAAAGTAAATAAATATGGAACAATTGCCACCAACAAAATACTGAGAAAATGATAATTCAGCCATTGGCCACTGTCTCAAAAATGCTACATGAATTTTTAATTGGCAAAAAATGTAAAAAGATCATTTGTATAATATTTGATTTACTTGATAATTATAGAATTAGGTCTATTTCCTAACCTGGTTTAACACCAAACATTTCCTGCTATTTGTTTAGCTATAAATGCTGGAAGTTACATCATTTTACATACTATTTGAACAATACTGATTATAGTGTTAACAGAAGTGGGATGCAAACCCTCTCTTCAGTGACCCATTGGATTTTTGCACCCAGATCTGATAGCCTACTGATCAAACATCTGTTTTTTTTCAATGTAGGAAGCCAGAGGTGTGCTTTGGTTATGGATACTTGGCAAAGATACCCTTCAGTGACCATGGTGCAATCCTACACCATTTTATCTGGGAACAGACACCCCCACACACACACATTTAATATGACTTAATTTGAATAGATTTGCATAGGCCTGTATCTCAAAATACCTGAGCAGAGTTTTTGTTTTTTAATGTAGCTGCAGCACCAAAATAAACGGTCATAGTAATTTATTAAGACTTCAAACGGTTTTATATCTGCAGAAACATGCTTCAGTTAGGGTTATCTATCATAATTTGCTAATTTGCCCAAGTGAAAGAATTCTGGAGAAAACCTCTAAAGGAAAAATGTGATCTGGACTGTTAAAATACAGAATTTACTGAGGTACTGAAAGGCCAAAGAGGTAATCCTTAAAATTAAATATGATTCTTAAAGTATGTCTTTTGCTTCATGTGCATTAAAGTCAAATCTTTATGTATGAAATTGCTTTCTAGTTCAATCCTGTGCCTGTTTATCTGGATATAAGTCCTACTGAGTTTGGGCTTACTTTTAAGTAAAGATGTATATGATTGTACTCTTAAAAGAGTTTTTTAAAACTTGTTTGTCAATTACTATGTATTCCCAAAATATTTTCCTAAAGCAGCCACTAACAGATATTGGTGGTGTGCTCACTAAACAAGTTCCTTGGTTAATTTCTCTTTTTGAAACTATACTGTATGGTATTGCTTTCACCCCTGAAAACTGATTAACGTCACTTCAGAAGATGGTTAAATTCTACAAACTAATGATTTGCTTCATGAATTGAAGTACCAGTCGTGAAGCCAAACACATCTATCAAATGAGGTATGAGAGTTTTCCTTCACTGGATGTAATAATACATGCTGGTTATAAAAAAGGCAGTATTGAAAATACAAGTAAACAATAGTGAATTAATGTAGACATAATGACCAAAAAACAAAACAAAACCATATCTGGGCATACAGATTCACAAATAGTAATGACTAATGTAATTTTGACACAAGTACAAAGCAGGGAGAATAGACACTATGTAAACCTAAGACCTTGAAATGTTTTGTTCCTTCATACTAATAGATTTTATTTCAAAATCATGCAACAATATAACTAGGATCAATAGATATTGGATGCTATTTGGTGGGCACTGCTTCAGTACAACTCATTCCTCCCCAAAGTATTTGAGAGAAGCTTTAGCAGCACTTTTATAAAAGGCTGATATACAGACGAATGCATGACATTTCTTTTCCGGCTGCGCAGTAATTCAGGTCAGAAGGGGAAGTGTAATTTTGAGGATACTTTTCCTGGGAAACTGCACATTTGATTTAAGAAGGTGCCAACCAGCGTGATGCTTGTATCCACATTCACAGCAAATCACCTTTTCCTCAAACCCTGATCTCCACCCAACGCTATTGGTTTTTATGTTCACATTGTCAAGGTATCTTCTGAGTCAGTGTATCAAGGGAGAAGCACACTGCAGAATCATAGTTTAAACCTTCCTGGTCCTCATGCCGAAAAAGCTGTATTTTTTATATGTAATTGTTAAAGCTGTAGGATCCAGGCCATACAAAGGTAGCAATTTTAGTGAATCTGACTTAAATAAATTCTTGAACAATGACTGATTAAGGCATGCTCCAAGACAGTGTTTTCAAACTTGGCAACTTTACGATGTGTGGACTTCAACTCATGCTGGCTGGAGAATTCTGGGAGTTGAAGTCCCCACATCTTAAAGTTGCCACGTTTGAAAAACACTGCTCTAAAAGGAAATGAATATATTTAAGGCTACCAGATCTGGGATGCCAAACTCCAGACAACCACTAGATGGCAGCAAAGAAATGTTGATCTGGTAGCCCTAATCTATTAGGAAAAACAGAATCTGGAAGGTCAAAATGCAAGTAGTGAACATGTCTGCACTCAGCAGTTAAAATATATTACATGTCAGAAGGGTACTAGAACAGATAATAAATTTCAAAAATTATTGTGGCATATGCAAACATAATATTCCTCAGAAGGTTTATAACTCATCTATTGTTTTAGTAACTGTTTGATTAATTTCTCTATTACTACATATTTTCCAGAAAGGTATAAAGCCTCTTACCCCCTCAGCCACCATTCTGTACATATGGTTTATATCACAGTTTAATTGTGATAAAGGAATCTTTCATAATGGTTTCTCAGCACAAACATGGATTATTTGGCATTTGGTATTACTAAGACATAAAATAGGAAAATATGAGTGCATATATGCTTGTTAATAAGTGAATAATGAAAAATGGATGTCTAAAACAGCAGGTGCTAAATATTTATGAGAGCCAGAATTAATTTATGACAGGAGTCACCAAGGATCGATCCTCATATCCTTTTTCACTAGCAAGGCTCAACCGTGGAAGATATGGTGGAAATCAGATAATAATGGCCCTGGGCAGGGTCAAATATTATCACTGAATGAATATAGAAAATATCCACACCATAGGAATTAGGGTTCCCAGCAGACTTGAATTCTAGGATTACTTCATCTTTAAATTAAGCTCTGATGTGGCACAGTTTTCTTGGACCATTTCAGCAAGTTTGCAGTGTTATACATAAGAAACATGACTTCATTAGATAGGAAATGGAAGTATGGACAACCTAAACATCTCAATTGAGACGGAAATCACAAAAAGCAGGGAGATCAGTAACAAAGGTGAAAAATGTAAAGCAGCTGAGCAATTGCCCTTTAAACCAAGAAATACATATTTTCAAAAGGCTAACAGTGTGAGAATGTGGTATGAATCCTATTTTCCAACAGTGTCTTTTTTTCTCATGCGTACATAGGTTTGTGAATTAAATTACAATTATGCTTACATCACATCCATTCCTCTAGTAAGGCATGGTGGGGAGTTAGAAGTTTGAGGTAAAACAAACTTATGAGTATTTTATCAGGGTTTTCCATAGGTCTGGACCTCAACTCCAGGAATGTTCAGCAAATGGTAAGCTGACTGAAGAATTCCGGGCACTGAAGTCCATAAATATGGAAATTTGCAAGCTTGGGAAACATTGTATTACACCAGAAGTTGCAGGCACTGGATAGGGAAAGATTTAACACTAGAGGAGTGTGAAAAACAGATGCCCAAATTAAGTTTTTTCATTCTCGCCCTTGATTAGAATTAATACTGCAAGATAAAGTATGGTTGCATTACTGTGGTAGTGACATTCTGGCATGATTAGCTTTCTAAGTCAGTACTAGTCTCAGAAGCTAGTCAAATATTAGTATTTTTCAGAAAGATACTGAGTTAGTGGTTGCATCATACTAAAACATTTGCTTTGCTTTGTTTAGTTTTGGTTATTGAATTGTGTGAAACGAGCCATTGGGGTCTTTAAAACCTTGTTTATAGCTTAGTATATTGTTTAGTGCCACAGATCTGGAGTCCAAAAGTCCAGACATTAGTTTTCCATACATCCTTTGCTGCCACCTAGTGGTATTCCAGAGTTTTTGTAGACCAAACATGGCAGACCTAACATTGTCTGAACCCAGCCAATTATGGTTTATTCAGTAAGACATGGTCAAGTATGATTGGAATGATATATGAATCCAGGCAATGTCTGTGTTCATATATTGCACTAAGCCATGATTTTACCATGGTGCATTGATTAAGCTATAATGGCTGTAAGTACACCTTGCACTAAGCCACTGTTTACAGAACCACATTATACAATAAGTAAACCCAGGCTTTATGTTATGTGGACCTTGTTTCCTCCAATGGCACCTGACTTCCTACCAGTGTACAAAGAAATAAAAATTAACCTGGGAGCCTAAAATCACTAAACAAATGCTTTTTTTAAAAAAAAATAGCACCAGTTTTTAGTTTCTTGAACCTGAGAAGTTTCAACATAAAATTATCTTGACCAACACTGTGTATTCCCTTTCAATACTTTTCACCTTGTGGTTTTTCACTGGGTAAGGAAGTAAAATATATTTTCTTACACTGTTACCCCATCATCTGAATGCTATCCTCCTTTTACATCTTGATTCTCTATTGTGGTTTAAAGCCTACTGTTACCTGTATTTGCCATCAGCAGATATCAATATGACTTGATATGTGACAACTGAAAAGCAGACTTAGGGTGCATTTCCCTTGCTAACAGTTTGTTTTAAGCAGACAGGACAGCAAACGCCCTTGAGCTTCACAGGTGTAGCACAATCATGCGGTGGACACGACTCCACGTAACAGGTTACCTGACCAACCTGTGTTTGGAAAGGTAGAGTGACAGTTTAGTTACTAAAAAAAAGAAAAGATTAACGTGTGCATTACTGAACAATGTACATTTGGGGTTCAGGCCTGCATTGCTGATACAGTATAGGCTATGTAAATATTTTAAGCCCAATCTAGACTAAGTTGCTTGCTGGATTTTGAATGAAAAGATGTGTGCGCAAATCAATGGACAAAGGGGAAAAAAGGTCACCTTCACACTGCTTGTTTAGTTGGGAAATATTTATCTTTGTCAGCTAGTAACGTTTGTAACTAGACTGGATCATCATGTGGTTTTCCCAGTTTTTGTGGAAACAATCAATTTTTGGATCAAACAGAATCTCTAAAGACAAAGAGTAAACACTTATCTTAATCCATTTATATCATGGAGACCTCTGCCCCCTAAATGCCGTTATCCAGGAAGGTAGGATATAAATTGGAATGACAACGATGATAACACTGTAACACTAACAAATATGAATATGCATGGTTTGTTCAATGACTGCTCTAGCTAATATAGACATTTCTTGATAAAACACGCAGAGAAACTGGTAGAGGTTTGGGTTCTTCATGGTTTTATAAAAGTTGTGAATCTGTTAAAAACATATTTTGCAGTTTTGTCTGAGGATTTTCATGCTGTTATGCTTGAATTTTTTTGAATGCATTTGGTAGGCTGCTGTGTGGGACAAAATATCAAACTCCCTGGGTTTTTGGCCTGAACCAGGAAGGAGGTTCTAAGTTTTCATGGGTCAATACTTTCCATGAACGGAAAAAAACAAGTGCTACATGTTGAAATTCTGAACCCAGCTACATATAGTAATATGGCATCTCCCTGCCAGAACAAAATGAACATTAGGCCCTAAGTTGAAATATTATTTACATTATTAAGTCCTACATATAACATGTTATTAAATATTATTTATGTTAGGAAGTTATTTCTGTCAGGGCTACAGAAAGTTTCCAGGGATTAGTTATTTTAGTTTCTTGCAGTAGCACACACACTACCCTGCCCCCAAGGCTTAGGGCATTTTAAAGCTTAATAAATTTCATATTATGTTAACTTCTACAGATCACAAGCCTCCTCACTAAACACACAAGGGAGCCTTACACAGACCACAGCTAGATTATCTCAAACTTCCAAATATGTCTGTGCAATAACAGACTAACAGTACATTCTTATGGGGGCCTTCTTAGAAGCGAGTCACACCAGGTTCGATGAGACTTCCTGCCAAGTTGTGCTGAACAGGACTGCATTCTAAGAGATTTCCCCTTCAAGTAAACAGACAAACTCAAGTGGGCACAGAAAATATGGAGGCATTAATTCAGAATTAATTTGTCTTGAAGACTTGTTAAATTTAATATATAAAAGTTCTGTAAACTGCCCAACTTTATTCTAACTCAACACCATTGATTTTGGTTTTACTCATCACTAAGAGGACAAGAGCAAATCCAGGCCCTGAAGCGTGTTGTAACCCCATGCCAGAACTACTGTGAACTCAACTATCCCTTTGGGTTTTTTTTGAAAGATTAGCTTCATAACTTCATAGCCAAAAGGGCTAGAAACCTGCTCTAGTTTTCTAAGAAAAAAAAAGTAGCAGCAGCTGAGATTTTTCAGGAAGCCCAATTTGCCAATTCCACATTCTCTGGCAGTAATTCCTTTGGCAAAAAGACAATCCAGTCAATTGAACAGCAGCAGCTTGTCTCCTTGGCAGTGAAAACGGCAGAGCCCAAACACTGTGAAAACTATGATAACAATAACACTTATATGCAAGCAAAAAGCAGCTTCTGAATATAAACTGCAAAATCAGGAGAAGGCTGCAGCCCTCTTCAAATTTATCAGGAAGATTCACTGAACGCTGGGAGACATACAGGCGAGAACACATACAGCTATGTGTGCCCAAAAGCATGTTAAAGCATGAAAACCCACCTTGCATTCACATGTAGTGCAGGGGTCTTTTTTCCAAGTGTCATTACTGGAGTAAGATTTGCCATTTTCGTCAGTGCATTCAGTTCTACTGAGCCGTGACTCAAGTTTCTTTATCTGAACAGGGGGAAACCTTGTTTATCCATCTATGCTAAAACAATTTCCATTTCCTTTTATGTGCAATGCAACAAAACCATTGAACACCCTTCAAAATTCTCATAATATATCACGTTCACTTTACTGAGAAGTTACCAAGACAGTAACATATAAATTCAAAGTTGCTTTGCACGACATTAAATAAGAGAGGGGAAGCATTCAGCAGCTAAACAGTCACAGGCTCCCTTTGCAATTTCATGCTTTCATAACATTGAAGAATCATAGTCCTATCCCTACTTTTTCTTTTTTGCTTGGGCGAGCGCCGTCTACATTCAGTACATGGAGCCAGAATCAGAATAAAAAACCTGTAACTTTGTAATGCAATTTTGTGCCTTAAAATATCCCCCTCCATCTGTTTCTTGCCTGGGGAAAAATGTACTTAAGGATTTAAACCTGCCCCATCACTCCATCCTTAAAAAGGAGAGATAACAGACCCAAACCAGGCTAATTTAGGAAGAGTTTCTACTTCTCCTTTAATTAAACAAAGAGTTAGACAAGGACTAGAAGACTGTGATGGTGACACACAGTGGTAACCCAGTCATGGATATCTTTCATCAAATAAGAATTATTGGCAGATTCACTTCTGCATCTCATACATCAATCTTGATCCTAAGTGAAAGTAGGATGCAAAACAGCAACACATGAGGAAGAAGAGGAAAGCCTTGGATTTTTTTTTCTTCTCCTTTTTTAGTCCAACCTCCACCTCAAATCCTAATCCAGGATACTATTTCGCCTCAGTGTATGTCAAAATAATACCTTGCTTAAGATACTGTCAACATTAAGCAATTGTATATTACACAAATGCATTTTCTTAAAGCATGCAAAATATGATTGGAATTCCTCCATGAAGAGATCATGGATATGACAGACAGAAAATCTACTGATTTTCCTCAATTCTGTAGTCCCTGCCACCACCTTTCAGGATCCCCAGTGAATCCACCAACTGCCCAAAGCAGGTTTTTGGTGGTGTGGGGAATAAATGAAAATTGTCACCCTCCTACTCTGGCAGGTATCAGAAGTATGCCTTCAACTCTTACACTGACTGCAAAAACATCTTCAGTGTTTAATATTATTTGAAGAATCTTTCACACTCACCTGTTTTCTGAGGTCTGTAATTGTTTTTTGCATATCTCCAACAAATTCTTTGAAATCATTCATTATGGGGGCTTTCTTGTGCTCATCAAAGGATGAAATGGTGCTGTTAAAGAATGCATTCCCTCTTGTAAAACTGTAACAAGAAGAAAAATAAGTTACGTATTGTACTGAAGAGGCATCTTTCTTTGTTTTTTAAATCTGGTTGACTAGTTTGTTATCACACGGGCTATTGTTAATGAGTTATCACTAGCACATGGAGATGACCTGATGACCTAATTTGCTACATGGGAAATTTGAAGAGAAGCATAGTTTAAATCACTGCATCCAGAAAGAGTACTAGAAAACCAGTAAGTTGTACCTGTTAATGAAATAATTGAGGACGGTTTCCATGTACCACAAGAATAATTTACCTGTAGTTTATGTGTTACTTGCAAGAGAAAGGGTTTTTTTTAACATACTGGCAGGCAAAACAGTATGCAGTCTGATTCTGGCTCCATATACTGAATGGAGAATGTAGAAGGTGCTCACCCAAGAAAAAAGGAAAAAACAAAAAGTAGAGATACGACTATGACTCTTCAATGTTATGAAAGCACATAGACATATGAATTCTAGAAAATATGTTGCCAGCAATAAATCTCACAGTGTTTCCTCCTGAATACTAGTATTTCTTTTACTTTTATCTCCTACATTTACTTCTTACTCTTCTTCTAAGCTTTACATGATGTTGCTTGCCCCCAAAGGGAATAATGTGAAGGGCGTATGTATGTATATATGTTAGTCTGGGTTATTTGCAGTTAACCAATGTAAGAAGTTAGTAATAAACATAATCAATGAAACTAACTCGTAGTTACTTGTTGCTCTATATGATAATTTTGGTTTCAGCGTGTCTTATTTTTTTCTACGTGAACTACATTTCATTCAGATTCCACATCAGTCTATAATTTTAAACTCTACACAAAAATATCTACATATTTCTTCTCCCAATTATTCATGCTTCTATGCAGTTTTTTCTGATATAATCATTATTGTAGGCAATTTCCTAATAAATTCATTTCTGGCAAGGCATTTTTTCTAATATATTGTATATAGATTCTCTGTGGGTTTTTTTTTTTAAACTTATGTATGTACTTTTGTGAGCACTTTTTGAGTACAGCCATCATTAAAATAAGGTAGTTTAGAGGACCTCACGTAGATACTGCTGTGTTACTAGACAATTTTGGTGGGTGTTGTGAGACTTTTTTTGTGTTCAATCATAGAGTTTGCTTAAAGAGGCTGATGAAACTGTTGTTTATCTGTTAAGAATATATTCTGAGAAGTCTCTGATCAATCCTAGTTCTATTTAAGGGGATGCTAGCATTCTCAGGGACTTGGCAGTCCCATTAAGCATCAACATTTTAACCAAATGAGTGCCAGAAACAAGGAGGGTTAGAGTAGCAGAGGAAAATACAAAAAGCAAATAGTATTTATTTTCAGGCACTGCAATAGGGAAAACATTATCCTGATTGCTGAGAGGAACATAAATCCATTCACCTTTTAGCTATGGTGTATTAATTTATATATTTTGTGAGTAGTATGTAAATGGCATGATACTGCCTATTTACCCCCACAGCTGGAACGGTTACCCATCTCTGGTGTAAACTAAACTGGAATCTTGAAAATTTGTTGTAATATTGTACCCAACTAAGGACTGTTTTTAATCTATTTATTTTTTTACTTATGAAACAAGATGATCTCTTACTTGGCAAGGTATTGGCATTTCCCCAATATTCACATGAAGAAGAAAAAAAATCAAGTTGATTGAAATAAAAATAAAAGCTGATTAAAAAGATCTGATTAAAAAATACCTGCTGAGATGCTTTGGGCTCTGTGCTTCAGGCAACTAAAGCTTAAGTAGTACAATAAATGTTAAAAGTAACAGGTTAACATAACTGTAATATGTACCTTGATGCTCTTGGTATTTTCAGGTGCTTTGAAGGCTTATCTTCCTGAAAACTATAATCAAGAGAGCGCCTTCCTCGGAAGTGGTAAGAAAATGCATTGAATTGTCCTCTAGTTCTGCAGTCTGAAATTAAATAGAAGATCCCAAGTTTTGTAAGACTTTAGCTTTTTAAAAATATGGACAAATAATGTTTCCTCCAGAATAGAAACTATTGCATTGGAAAATTGAAATATACTCTTTCCATTTTCTTCAGTGAAACCTCAGGCATCTTTGAGAAGAATAATCTACCATGTTAACAGATGTAATCACCTAGCCTAGATAATATATATTACATTTTCTTTTATAGCTTTGCAAACCAGACTACTTGCTCTTCACTGCTGTTTATGACCTAGCCAGAGGAAATTAATTGGGATGGGTTCAGAGTATGGCAAATGCATTATTGCACGAGGAACAGGTGCTAAACATCTTGTAGAAGACAGTGGTGTATGATTCTGTAGGGAATCTTTTCTGGATCCCTTGGATATTAACAACCATAATTTAGCTGCTAATGTCCCTTTCTGGTTAGGATGCTCAGGAAGATACTGGAAGAAATGGATAATCTGGACACTTTCTGCTATGGGCTCAGGCATGGTTATGGAACTGAATCGTCTTTGGTTGCCCTTTAGGACCAATGAAGTTTATAGGAAGAGAGAAATGGCAATTGGAACCTCCTGTTAAATGGCTTTTGATACTGCTGCCCTTTCTGCAGCAGCTTTGTAGGTTGAAGGCACTGTATTATAATGGCTCAACTCTTACCAATGGGACTGTGTTCAAAAGATAGGACTGGATGACACTTTCTTCAACCTATTGCAATTAAGGTTCCACAGGACACTGTTCTGTCCCCAGTGCTGTTTAACATCGGCATGACACTGCTGGGGTGGTCCACACAAAATTTGGGATAAATTCATCAATTTACTGATGGGGCAAAGACACAGAGTTGGGTATCATCTGAGTCACAAGAAGCTGGGAAATCAATGGACCAGCACCAGGATATGATGGTGGGCTGCATGAAGGTCAAGGAGCTCATGAAGTGTGGAGTCCTTGTGGTTCTCTGAGCTCGGTTGTTTTCTTGCAAACGTTTCGTTACCCGGCTAGATAACATCTTCAGTGCACTGAAGATGTTACCTAGCTG